TTGCTCAGCTTTGTTCATAGCAGCATTATTGGTAATAGCCAGAACCTGGAAACAACCTAGATCCCCCTCAACTGAGGAATGGATAAAGAAAATGTGGTACATATACATAATGGAGTACTACTCATCATGAAACTTGCAGTTTCTTCTGTTAAGAATTATCTGTTTAGCTCTGTAGCCCATTTTTTAAATTGTATTGTTTGGTGATTTGCTATATAGTTTCTTGAGTGCTTCATATATTTTGGAGATCAGCCTTCTGTCAGCTATGGGGTTGGTAAAGATCTTTTCCCATTCTGTAGGCTGTCATTTTGTCTTATTTAATGTGTCCTTTGCCTTACAGAAGTTTCTCAGTTTTAGGAGGTCCCATTTATTAGTTGTTGCTCTCAGTGTCTGTGCTACTGGTGTTATATTTAGGAAGTGGTCTCCTGTGCCAATGCATTCAAGACTACTTCCTACTTTCTCTTCTATCAGGTTCAGTATAACTGGATTTATATTGAGGTCTTTGATCCATGTGAACTTGAGTTTTGTGCATGGCCATAGATATGGAACTATTTGCGATTTTCTACATGCTGCCATCCAGTTATGCCAGCACCATTTGTTGAAGATGCTTTCTTTTTTCCATTGTAAAGTTTTGGCTTCTTTGTTAAAAATCAGGTGTTCATAGGTGTGCAGATTAATGGCAGGGTCTTCAATTTGATTCCATTGGTCCATATGTCAGTTTTTATGCCAATACCAAGCTGTTTTTATTACTATAGCTCTATAGTAGAGCTTGAAGTCAGGAATCACTATGCCTCCAGAAGTTGCTTTATTATACAGGATTGTTTTAGCTATCCTGGGTTTTTTGTTTTTCCATTTGAAGTTGAGTATTGTTCTTTTGAGGTCTGTGAAGAATTGTGTTGGGATTATGATGGGGATTGCGTTGAATCTGTAGATTGCTTTTGGTAAGATTGCCATTTTTATTATGTTGATTCTACCTACCCATGAGCATGGGAGGTATTTCCATTTGCTGATATCTTCTTCAATTTCTTTTTTCAAAGACTTAAAGTTCTTGTCATACAAGTCTTTCACTTTCACTATTTGCAGACGATATGATAGTATACATAAGTGACCTCAAAAATTCTACCCGGGAACTCCTACAGCTGATAAACGCCTTCAGTAAGGTGGTAGGATACAAGATTAACTCAAAAAAGTCAGTAGCCCTCCTATATACAAATGATAAATAGGCTGAGAAAGAAATCAGAGAAACATCACCCTTTACAAAAGCCACAAATAATATAAAATACCTTGGGGTAACTCTAACTAAGCAAGTGAAATTTCTTTTTTTTAGGGTTCACTGTTTCAATGGTCAGATTGAAAGATGCAGGAATCTCTTGCTTAGGCTTTAATACTTTCTCTTTCACTCTGAACATATTATTTAGGATTTTCCTGAAATTCTACAATTTCTTTGTTGATCAATTTTACATACATTACATTTACTCTGAGGCATAATTACTGGCTTGTGCTGGCTAGTTTTATATCAACTTGATACAACCTAAAGTCATTTTGGATGAGGGAGCCTCAGTTAAGAATATTCTCTTACAAGACTGACCTATAGGCAAGCCTATTGTGCATTTTCTTGATTGACTATTGATGTGGCAGGGCTCAGATCACCATGGACTGTGCCACCCCTGTGGGGAGGGGTTCTGGATGCTATATGAAAGCAGCCTGGGCAAAGCCAGGGAAAGCAAGCCAGTAGGCAGCATTCCTCCATGGCCTTTGCTTTAGTTCCTGCCTCCAGGTTTCTCCTTTGTGGTTCTGCTCTGACTTCCATGAGTGATGGAAGTATGGCCTGAAAGCTATAAGATGAAATAAACCCTTTCTTCCCCAAGCTGCTTTTGGTCATGATGGTTTATCACAGAATTAGAAACTAAGACAGGTCTTTTTCTAGTAAAGGCTACAATAGTCCATTCCAATCTAGTTTGCAACTTTCTTATTGCAGTTTCATAGCTTCTGGTCATTGTTTTCAATTTAATTTCTACCAAATGTTAATACATTGTTTCAACCTTATTCTGTTCTATTCATCCAACAGTTATTAACAAAAAGGGAAGTGTACTCTTTCCAATAAATGACAAACAGGCCTTTTTGTGAATTTAGCAGCTGTGTTGAAGAGCAAGATTTCAAAATTGTGTTAATGGAGGATTTGTCACTTGACAATGAAAGTGGGGGTCAGATGAAGTTAATCAGGGAAGGAGATAAATAGATTAGAGGAAAATCCTTTTATTTTTCATTTTGTTTCTGTTCATGCTTTCTATATAAATTAAGCTTTACTGTACGTGTCTGTTCTCTGGTACACTCTTCTCAGTAAAATCAGCATCTTTGTTGATGGTTTTTCTGTTACTCTGGTCTCTATCACAGGGGCTTCCTATATCACAATAGTCTATCTCGATTTGAATTGTAATCACTCACTAGAAATTTGAAATTGTCATTTCTCAGACTCTCAAATTCCTTCCTCTGATTCTATAATTCTCTTCCCTGCATCTTCACACACAATGGGCTTCAGTTTTCATTTTCTGGCTACTTGCAGACCTTTCACTCTTTCCCATTCTTGTACCTTTCACCCTAATTTTTAGTTAACAAACTTAATAGAGCATGTCTTAGGTATAAAACCCCAAGTATATAATGCCTTATCATTTGAATCTTCCCAGCTTTCCCACACTACTGACAATGTTACCAAAGGCTGGCTACTGTCAGGTGGCTCTACCGTAATTACCGCTATCTAATCCTGGATGACCAGTAACTGCTCATAAAAACCTTTCATTTTCCACTACAAAAAAAGCATTTCAACTTTAATTCTCTCCATTTCAAACCCTCTGTATTTCAATCTCTCTCTCTCTCCCTCCCTCCCCCCCTCCTTATTTTGTGGCAGAAAAAGCTCTTCTTGGTATTGCTACTATTGTCATCCTCCAGTTCATCATGAAAAAAAATCTGACTAAGAGATGCCAATCTTTTGCTCAAAATCTTCCAGTGGAGTAGGATTGCCCTAACCAGCCATCATAGCCCCCTATAAAATGGCCAAATTTACCACTCCACATTGCTTAGAATTATCTCCTGTGTATCATGCATTGTTTTCATCAACATGAACCATTTGTTCTTTTCCAAGGGAGCCGTGAATTCCATGCCTCAATGCTTGCTAAAGGCAAGATATGATCTTTTATTTCTATAATTGGAGTTCAAATACAACCCACATCATTTGACAGTTGGGTAGCTTTCGTTAAGGATACAGAATTAGTGGCCATTGGTTTATTCCCTAGTTGCTTGTGAGAATGCAATAAAATGATTGTTGCAGTACTGAAAAAAAAACCCTATATAGTGCTAAGATACAATGGGGAGGGTTGTTTTATTTTTTATTCCACAAATATTCATTTAGCACCCACTATTGACAGGCATTAGTACTGCGACTGTTCACTTTCCAAATGAACATTATATATGTACTTACAAAGTAGAACTAATCTGCATCCACTGAGCTACATAAATACAAACAACTGAGAAACTTCAAACTCATAAGCTGGAGAGTTAGAAATAAAATTACAACATTTGCTCATAGGTTGATGGCCAGTTTTGGCTTCAAACCACCCTCCAGTAGATCCTACATCATCATTATTGCATTTGTGGACATCACCATCAGTTCAGATCAATAACTTAAAGGGATTTTGAAAATTTATGAAAATCAGGCAAGAACCTTTTATTTCTCAGAACAAAACATTCTGTTTTAAAAACTGTAATGCTTTAAGTAAGCTCGTGTCTTGAATCTCTTCGATCCATGCCAGATGGGACGCTAAGGAGCAGATTGCACACACAAGCTTGCAAGAGAACATGGCTCTGTAAATATAGCTTTTCTTCATGATGGCTGTGACTGTACTTTGTATAGGAGAAGACCTCACAGAAAAGGGTGCTGTTGGTGTTTTCACTAATCACTGATACCAAAAGAACATGCTGGGAAGTACATTTTCTCCACTACTAACATTTGTTATTCTAGCACCCCAAAACTGAATTGTTGGATCCCAGGGAATTGGGGGGTGGGGAAAGTGGGTAGACAAAAGCTATCCAGTGAACAAGCTATTTCTCTCTCCCTACCCCTCTTCTTGAAAAAAAATCCAAAATAGAAATTTCAAAGCTTAAAAAACTTCGAGGCAATTTAATTTAAGTTGCTTCCCATGACTTTAAACACTGAATATTCACACCTACGTCAGTACTACATTGAGAACCTCCTACTCAGAAACTGTATTTAGGAAAGGAAGGATGCTGTGGTCTGAATTGAGGACTAGGTTTGCGGGATCTTAAGTTCTGAGACGAATTCTTCAGCAAGACTCCAGAGTTCAGCAAATTTTATCCTTACTCCTCCATGGGGAGTCAAGGCAACATTCTCATACCGCTTCTCCTTGGGAATAATTATAGGAGATAAAAAATATTTATTACAAGATAAACAGTAACTTCTTAGACACTCCTTCATGGATTACATATATTCTGATTCAAACAATAGGTTTGTTCCTAAGAATCTGGATGTACATTGAGTGAGCTTCAGCCCCAGGGATCTCCTGCTAGAACACCAAAGGACAGGCTTCGCTGTGTATTGCTGCTGACAACAACACAACACATTTCCTGTTCTTTAATAGTGTTTGTGGCATTATTAGATTTTAACATATAAGGCAGATTTACTGATCATCCCTCTTCTGGGAAAATACATTTTAGCTTTAGTGTTTAAGCCATAACATGGTCAAATTGCATACTACTTCACACCCCACCATTTTTGTGTTTTTTAGCTTAAGCCAAGCCAGGTGAGTAGGCGTCATCCAAGATAAAATCTTGCTGACTTTTTTTTTCCTTCAAAGAAAAGCTAGCGAACAGGAGGTAATAAATGCTATGCTTCCTACTCAGACTCTGTCACATAAGATGTCACTTCTTTATTTTAATTATATTCCTTGCCAGCTCAAAGAGGCAAGTAATTTTGCTGCATATTATCCTACCTTTGTTAGAGTTCTTCACAAGCAACAGTGGAAGGCCTTTCATTTGTTCTGCCAGAGCTGGCCTTAATATCCAGTTCCCAGCCACTCTCTTGTATCCTGAGAAAAGAACCAGTTTATGTACGAGAGAGAGAGAGAGAGAGAGAGAGAGAGAGAGAGAGAGAGAGAGAGAGAGAGAGAGAGAGAACCAATTACTGAAATGCAGCTATATTTGAAATACAAAATGCCTCTCTAAAGCAATGCAGCAATAAAGAGAGTTTAAAGTTTTATTTTAAAGAGCAAACCCCACACACTTCCTACAGTCAAGTAACGACATTGACCAAAGAGGTGAACAAAATCCAGATACCATCAAGAAGATGGGGTGGAAGGAAAACTAAGGGTTCCTCTTATTTGAATTTGGGAGGCCAGGTTTGGGAATGAGGATTCTGTTTGTATGCTTGAAAGGCACAAGGATCAGTGATAGAATAGTTCGGAAAGACTCTAGGGAAGGGAAGGCAGAATATTCAAGGAAAAGGTACACTGCAAATCCCACTACCACAGCAGCAACTGGAGCGAAATCCTGACAGAAAGCCCTAGGAAACAGTACAAAATATATGCTTCATGACTATTCCACTTTGATGTGGGATGATTTGTTAGGACCAGATACCCAACTTATGGCAGCCATTGGTTGAGGGATATTGCTGTGAAAGGAAAGGGTTTATTCCAGTGCTATTTGCCATCCGCTTTTCCAGTTTCAAAAAAATATTCTCATGTCCAGAGATTCAGATACTGACAGCTAGAAGGAGGCTAGAGTCTGGTGGGTGTTCAGGGCCAAAGAAGAGCAGCACACTACTTCCTCTTTGTACTGAAGCAGTGTATCCTGAAGGAGAATGTTGTATTGGTTCCTGGTTATGGAAGGTCTAGATACAGTTGGTGGATGTCACAAACAAAGACACGGGATAGAAACAAGGTCAATATCTAAAGGAGGAAACAATGATCTACTTGCCCTCTTCTCTCCCTGCTATTATCTGCCACTTGTCTTTGTTCAGATGAGGCACTTTTGCCTTACATGCTAAAAGTCAAGGTGCTGGACTTCTTTGGATTTATTTGCAGAGGGATGCAAAACATGGATTTGCTCCTTGAAACAAGTTTATCTAAGTTTTTCCCAAGATGTTCTGAAGGTTAGAAGTACTAGCAAATAATAACACATGCATATATTTATTGAGCATTTTGTTTTTCTTTATTTTTGAGAATTTAATACATCATATCTACACCTCATTTCTTTCTTCCAATTCCCCTTATTTCATCCTCAACATGCTTCCATCCCAACTTCGTATTTCTTTGATAACCTACTAAGTCCAGTTAGTGCTGCTCATATGAGCATGAGTGTGGGGCATCTACTGGAGCAAGGGAATCCTACCAATTGCCACATACTCAAAGAAAAGTGATACCTCCCAACAACTACTGACAATAGCTTCTACAGTAAATGGGACCCGGCAATTCTCTACTCCAACTATGCTGGGAGTTTGACTGGTTTGATCTTGGGTATATATTGTGCAAATAACCACAGCTATGGTGAGTTCATGAGTACAATATCCATTCCGTGTCCATAAGACAGCATTTCATACCATTCCTTCTCATCCTTCAGCTCATAGACTTTCTACTTCCTCTTCAATGTTCCCTGAACCTTGGTGATAATGACATTAACATAGATATTCCATTAAGACTGAAAACTCAGTCTCTTATTCTCAGCAATTTAACCAGTTATTCTCTGCATTGACTGCTGCCCACTGCACAAAGGCGCTTCTCTGATCAAGGCTGAGAGCATTCAGGGTCTATGTATCCAAATACATAAAAGGCTGCTTGACAGAACAACTTAGCAAAATGACAATAGCAAGTTATACCATAGGGCCATAACCTCCCCAGCCATGGACTTTTTACCAGGATTACAGTATCGGGCATGAAATATCCTCCTGTGGAGCAGACCTCAGATTCAGTCAGAAAGCCTTTCCTTACCTTATGACAGTCAAGACACTGTTGAGCCAGTAGGCATAACTTGCCTAGTGGGTCAGCACTGCAATATGCAGGGTCCAGTACTGAGTAAGATCACTGGCGTGATTACTCCATCATCAGCCTGGAGAGCACCTTACAGTACTATGAAAACTAGCCATGAGGAGGAAGTCCTCAATTGCTTATTATTTCTCCATGTTCTGTAGCCAAAGTTTGTGGTGTCCTCAGCAATAGGCTCTTACCATAACAAAGGGTAATACTAATACTTCTGGAGCCTCCCTGACCAATAATTCGTAGGGAGGTATCCGTTAACTGGCACTATGATTTTCATTCAATAAACTCTGTCTTCTAGGAGCAACATTGTCCACCCATGCAATTATTATTATATTATAGTATTAGTATTAGTATTATCTTAAGTGGATGGATGTTTTGCCTACATGTATGTCTGTGCACCACATTTGTGCACTGGATCCTCTGGAACTGGAGTTACAGACAGTTGTGAACTTCCCAACTCTTTTAAGTTGTATTTTGAAGTTATCTTACTAAATAGTGGGTTTCTGTAAAGTTTTTTTTATAGAATCTTAGTTTTGGTTAACCACCCCTCCCACTAGCCACTTTTTCTCTCTGCTCTCACCGCCACTTAATCCGTCAACCCTAGGAAATTTCTTCTCTTCTTCTATTTTGCATGTTGTCTGTCTCTTCATTTAGAGAAAAAGATTTATTTGATTTTTAATCCTATGTCTGTGTGTGTTTATGTGGGTTTGCACATGTGAGTACAGGTGCCTGCAGAGATCAGAGGCATTGAATTCTCCTGGTGCTGGAGTTTCAGATAAGTGGTATTCACCCAGTATGGATGATGGGAACTGAACTCTAGTCCTCTGCAAGAGCAATGTGTGCTTTTAAGTGCTGAGCTACCTCACCAGACACTATTTTTATTTTAAGTTGGGTTGTCAGAGAGCCAGGCTTCCATATGTTTTTTTCATATCCCCTTCCTTTGGGTTAGTCCTCCCTTTCACTTCCTTTCCCCCCTTACTCCCACATCTTTCCTTCTTAAGCCTTCTCATCCCCAGTATTCCAACTTATTAATATGTCTTTGCTTTGGGGTTAATTTACTCTTCCCCCTCCCTAATGTGTTTCTGCCCAAAAGGTTCCTTTCTAATTTTCTGGCTTCCACTTGTGCTATAAGTTAAACACATAAAAAACAAAAGATCAGGAGCTAGTGAGAGCAGGCAAAATAGTCTTCCCCAGGGAAGAGCAAACCAATCTGTTGTTCAATAACAAATGGTCAGCCCTAAAGCATACACATACAAGTAACATGGCATGTACCAAGCAGGTTGTTTTTATATATTTAGAAATACACATACATACATATATACACACACATCTATGTAACAACAATCAAAGAAAAAGAGTCCGTGAATTTGAAAGTGAGCAAGGAAAAGCAGGGGAAGGAATAAATTGTAGATGAATTTCTAAACAGTCTTATTAAATAAGAAACACAGAACCAAATACAGACGTAATAGCCAAAGAGATCAGAGAACTAGCAAAGAGCCACGACTACCTTATCTTACCACCTCACCACCATTGCTTCCCCAGAGAGTTTTTTCCTGCCTGACCTGTGCTTTTATTGCTTTCCTGTTCTGCCTTCTCATTGGCTGTAAGTCCAGCCACATGACTTCCTCGTCACTGCCTGTCTATACAGACTTCCAGGTCTCTAAGGTTGGTACTGGGATTAAAGGCTCATGTCACCACGCTTGGCTGTGTCCTTGACCACACAGAGACTCTGACTGCCATGTGATCGAATTAAGGCTGTGGCCTACCACCTCCTGACTTCTGTTCCTGGCTCACTATGACCTCTGATCTCCAGGCAAACTTTATTTATTAACATCTAAATAAAATATCACATTTCAGAGCAAATAAAATATCACCACAATAAATGATGCAATTATAATATAAAAATTATAATAATTTTTAAATTAAAAAGAAAAAGATTTGAAGTTTGAATTCATATATGAGAGAGAATATATGGAATTTGCCTTTCTGGGCCTGAGTTACCTCACTAATTATAATTTTTCCCAGTTCCATTCACTTACCTGCAAATTTCATGGTTTCATTTTCCTTTACAGTTGAGGCATTCTTTATACAAGACATTTTAAAAACAATTTTTTTTGTTTGTTTTTCGAGACAGGGTTTCTCTGTGTAGCTTTGGAGCCTGTCCTGGAACTCACACTGTAGCCCAGGCTGGCCTCGAACTCACAGAGATCTGCCTGCCTCTGCCTCCCGAGTGCTAGGATTAAAGGCATGTGCCACCACTGCCTGGCTTGAAAACAATTTTATTTCCCAGGCAGCAGTGGTGCATGTCTTTAATCCCAGCACTCAGGGCAGAGCCAGGCAGATCTCTGTGAGTTTGAGGCCAGCCTGGTCTACAGAACGAGCTCTAGGACAGGCACCAAACTACACTGAGAAACCCTGTCTCTAAAAATAAAAAAATTATTTTATTTTATGAGTGTTGGTGTTCTTCCTGCATTTATGTCTATGCACCACTTGTGTACCTGGTGGCTATGGAGGCCAGAAGAAGGTGTTAGATCCCCTGGAACAGTCATGTGGGTTCTAAGAATTGAACCCAGATCCTTTGGAAGAGTAGTTTGTGCTCTTAACTGGTCAGTCAACTCTCTAGCACCACAAGATATTGTTTTCATGTGATTTGTATGCATTATTCATGTAATCTTCACAACAACATTATAAAGTAGATGCTATCATTATCTCTCATACCTAAAAAAACAAAGACACAAAAAGATGAAGTAGCTTGCTGAAGATGGCCAAGCTAGAAACTATCCTCAGCAACCATGATGATGGTTAATGATGGAAAGGGGATAAGTGATAGGCAGCACAAAATGATCACAAAAGAAATGAAGGTAATAAATGTAATAAGGAAGATAGTAAAGTCTCTGGGCAGTGGATTGGACCTAAGGACTTAAACAAACTAAAAATAGGAAATAATTACTACCAATTATCTAATCCCTTTTCCTACCACAGGAAAAGACCAGTTTGAAAGAGAAGCCGCCAGGCCAACAGGATCTAAATAAGTGCTCAGATGAGCTAATGCATA